TACTGATATATTCAGGCTGCATCAAGTTCTTTCCCCCACCCAGAGGTCTGTTCCTCAGCCCTTGTGCAGCTGCCTGCTATGCATGATTAACCTCTGTTCAGCCATACACAGAAATCTTTTGTCCTAACATACACAAAGCAAATTATTTTGGAAAGCTAGAGAGAACAATTAAATATAAAACTTCAGCTGTATTAAATTTACAGGACACTTCCCCTGCTTAAAAAAAAGGTGATTTAAAAAAAATCTCTTTTTAGCTCAATAGCAGGCTTTAGTTAGGGGAAAAAATAACTCTCTGCCTTTTATTTAGGCATATCCAGACATAGTGATGATGATTTTTTTCCCCCCTCGGAAAATAGTACTGGATTTTTTGTATTTTTTTTTTTTCTCTTTTAGCCATAACGCCTCCCACTCCTTGCATCTTTTCCCCTAATGTGCTTTTTGATCAAAAGACTTTTTTCCAAGTACAGTCGTATTAAAAGTGAATAAAATACCATGTCTGCCTGATGCTAAAATTGAGGATTTTGAATGAAGGGTAGATCGACATTTTCTCCCAGCTCCAAGACCCCAGCAGAAGGCAACAGAACAAGCACAGAGCCCTAGATGCAGCTAATTTTGTTGCCCGGCTGACGAAAATAATTGCGACTGAGTAACTCTGCCCCTCCCTGAGTCATGGTAGCGATGCTGAGGAACTTCTCCCCTTTCCAGGAGTATCACACGAAGGCAGATGCACGAGGCTGTGCCCCATCGCTGGCTGTCTTCTAGGCGATTAACAACTCTGCTGGTTTTCGATAAATTTAACCATATTTTATGTAGACGTGTTAAATCTTCAGGAGGGTGCTGGCAGGGCTCAAGACCCGCTGGTTATCCGGACTTCCCACCCCTCCCATGGCGGCGGGCACCACTGGGACGAAGGCAGGTGCTGCAGAGCCGGAGCCCATCGCCACCAGTCTTCGCTCTAACTTGGGTCAAGTCCGAGTCGAGAGTCGCTGCTGTCTGACCTGTATGAGTAGTCCCGTTTCTATAGGGAGAAGCGTTGCCGGTTTGAAAGCACCTTCCTTGGCTGTCGGTGTTTTCGAGAGCCAGCTGGTAGCGGCCGTGGCGTTTGAAGGACCTCTTGCCTGAAAGGGGATCTCTCTGCTGCGTTGGTAGCAGGGGAGTCTTCACCGTGCAGGTTGTGGGGCAATACAGAGGAGTCGGTTTCAATCCAGCGTCACTGGCAGTTACCGCCAGTTACTTTTGGAGACCCAAACCGACAGTCTTTCCTGCGTATTGAAATGCAAGCTGCAATGCTGGGAAAGCAGTCCTGAGGTCAACAGGAGTGGCAGGCGAGGGCGAGACTCAGGCCAGAGCAATTAAGTCATTTCTGCCAAACAGTACAGTGGCATACTAATTGTTTTTTGTCTAAAAGTAGTTCTCCCATCCTGGGAGCGGAGCGTGTAGAGGTGAAAGATGCCAGGCCTGTGAACTAGGAGTAGTTCTGGGGCCGCACGTGATCCTCTCCGCCCCTGGAGCATCTCTCCCTCGCCCCTGCTGTTTCTCCCCCTTCCTCCTGCCTGGTCTCACATTAGCGGCCGCTAATGGAGCTTGTTGCTTCTGCTGAAACAGGGGTGTGAGAGTCCCCCGCCGCTCCCAGCCTTAGCCGAGGGAAATGCCGTGTGGAGCCGCTCCCTTCCTTCTCCCTCGCCCCGCTTTGTGCCCCACGTCTTCCCCTGCCGTTGGGAAAGCGCTCTGACCCTCCTGCCTAGGTGCTGTTGCGGGCTGCAGTTTTGTCTGGGTTTAGATACAGACCTGTTGGGACAAACAGATTTATTAAATAGCGCTTCTACACAGCGTGTACCCTGGTGTACGGCTCAGCTGTGGGGATGGATGTTTTTTTTCCAGCAGCGGCTCATTTGTCCAGGTAGCTTGCAGTTTCCAGGGAAAGGCGCAGTATGGAGGTTGGTTTGTTTGTGGTTGATTCTGTTGTGGCACTTTTATTTTACATGGTTGAATGTGCATATATAAGGAATATCTTTCTTGGGAGAAGCAGATCTTTCTTCCCTGCAGAAAGCAACATCTGTTTTCCTGGACAATACAGCCAGGATCAGAACATAAGACTAGCAGAAACAGCCAAGTTCAGTAGTAGTAGGCTAAAACACTGAAGCAGCCTGGATTTTTGGGGGTTTTTCTGGGTTTTGTTCTTTTTTGTTTTTGTTTTTAAACCAATGCCTGTAAAGTGTATCTGACTCTTCTTTGCTGAATTGCAAAAGGAAATGCTTAATGTTTGCGTATGTTGCTAAACAAGATAAGATGCACCTGCAGCATGAATTGCCATCTTGGTCATGAATGCAGTCTGTATCTTTGCAAACTAATCTGTTTAATCAAATACTAAGTTTTATTCAAATTCCAAAAGAAACAAACAGCGAATTGTTTTTCTACATGGTCTTCCTTTGTCATGCATCCTCTTTGCATCTCAAGAAAAATAGCCTTGTTCAGTCCCAAAACATTTGCATAGATCAAAACTGAAGCACAACAGTAGTTTGTGTGCTGTTAAGACATCTGTAAAGGTGAAGAAGTTTAGTGTGCTCTCCCTGGCAGGAAGGCTTTAAAACATCACTGAAACTTTCTACAGGTTTTTTCTGTTTAAGCAGAATTCCAATCCAATTGGAATGAGTTTCACAGTCCCGATATGTGAAAGCTATAATTAGTGAATTACAACATTTTGAAATGAGGAGTTGTTACATCTGACTAGAATTAAACTAATTAAACTTAAAAAAAAAAAAAAAAGACCGATTGTACAGCAAGCTGGATAACTCTGTGCTGTTAATAAAACCTGGGCGATGAACGAATACTTTCCAGCCAGCCCATTCTTTGAAGGGTCTTGAAGATGCTCCGAGATACAGCTATTTGGAGCTTTGCTGATTAAAAGCACCTGAGGTGTAACTTAAGGAGCAGCTTGGCTTCGCTAGTGCAGATTTTTTACCTGATGCAGCCTCTTCTTACCTCTTTTCCTCAGTACATGTGTGGGCTAGAAAAGCCTGTTAGAGCATTCGTGGGAGCTCGGGCTGAGAGTAACAGGAGTGAAAGATCACCGCTGGAAAATATTTTTGCAAGAGAGGAGCGTTACCTGGCAGGACTGAAGTGCAAGTGAATCAAATGCGGTGAAATGCCACCTCTGTGCTTCTCCAGCTAAAACGCAGGAGAGCGTGTATACCTTCCGTTCCCAGTCTTTCACTATTTCTTAGCATTTTGCCTTTTTGCTGCTGCTGCTGTGTTAGGTGAGGCTACGCTGTACTGCGTAAACGCACGACGCTGAGACTCGGGTTGTTTAAACACCGCTTTAGGTTCAGCTGCAGTACACTGTTCCTCTGATCTTTTATGTTCCCGAGCAGATGTCTTTCATTAATTTATGGATTTATCATCTTTTCTTTCTCTCCTTTTTTTTTTCTTTCCTCTTTTTTTTTTTTTTTTTTTTACACCTGGCAGCTGGCTCAAGTTTCAGCAGTTATTGTCTATTTTGCATTACCCATAGAATTGAATGTCATCTGTCTTCACAAAGCTATAGCTAAGAGAATTGAGGCAAGCCACACGAGCTGCTGGGACAGAGCTTGTTTGCGTTCCATTCGGCACCCCTCCTCCCTTTACCTCCTTAATATTTATTTGTGCTCGTTTTCTTTCCTGGCCTTGAATGGGGCTTAGCTCGTGTTCGGTACAGCTGTATGTTTACTGAATCTATTTCATCATGAGTCATTGTGCGTGTGTAAGTATCCTGGAAACAGCTAGTGCTTTCTTGGAAGAACAGTTGCTTTTCAGCCCAAGCACTTAAAAAGGAAATTAAGCAATTGGTCAGTTCAGTTTTTTTCTGAAATAGCAATGGGTTATCTAATTCTTAGCTCTTAAGTCTGCATTAACTATTTTTTGCTAGATTATTAGAGATCATGTCTTTTATCACAGTAAAGCGTTAACCTTAGGATCAAGATATAGAGATTTATTGCAGATTTGATATCGCTTTAAGGCTGCCAAATGCTTAAGAACAAGTATAATTTTAATAAAAAATAGATTTCTGGGAATTTGAGTCTCAGAACATCTTTTAATACATGTTTCATTCAATATCAATATCCTCTGGCATTAGAGCAGAAATATTTAAAAATCCTAAATGCAGAAGGAATCCACATGCTTAGACAACTGTCTAATATGCTTAAATCCAGCAAATGTGAGAGCTTTTTCTGAAAGTTTAAGTCCATCTTTCAGCTTGCATTGAAAGAAAATACATACCAAACCCAATACTAACATATTGTCAGCATCAGAGGAATCACAAATTAAGGAGACTTAGGTTTTATTTTTTTTTCCTTCCCTTATTGGAGTTCCCCTTTGGACCCTCACTTTCCTGAAAGGATCGCATAACAAAATGGATTTCTGGCGTAGAAGTTTTGATTTGTCTAAAACTCTTATCGCTAAGCAATAGGTGACAGCTTGCTACTATTATTTCACTTACGTATTTTGACAGATGGCACTGCAGAGTGTAATGCTCTTTTAGACTTCTCTATCAGTCTAATGGAGGTAACTGGAGGTTCTTTCAACTCTTCTCTTGGCGCAAGAAGTATGTCAGTCATAAATTATCTTCTTTGTAATCATTAAGCATCTAAAACAAAATGCAAGTTCAGCTGAGCTGTTTTCCGTGTACTTCCAGATAATAAGAGGTTTTTAAACAATATTGTCAATGACTTTTTTTTTAAATGCTACATTTTTCTGATCTAAAAATTCATTTTTAGATGGGAGCTCTCCCTTGCCACTGAAATAAAGGGAGATGGTTTCAGCAGATTTCACGAATTAGAGAAAAAGGAATTCTGCTGAAAAAGACTAGCTAATCTTCAGTAGCCTCCTGATAAAAATCAGTCTGGGTTTCCCGTCTCGAGGCCTGGAATGAGATGTTCTGTGCTGCCGTGCGCCCGGCCGTAAGGTGGAAGAGGCACCTTGGCTGCAGCGTATCTGTCGACTTGGTTGACCTTCCCCCCCACCGTAAGGTGTGAACTGAGTGAAATTTTCAACAATTGTGTTTAGGAGAAACAGTCCTTAGAGAAGCTTCTGGGACGAACCCTTAATTGACCTTGTGGGGGCCACATTGATTTTCTCCACGTGCATCTTCATTTCTGATAAATTATAAAGCCATTAATTTGCTGAGGAAATGGCAGGGCCAGCCTGCAGCACAGATGTGACCAGAGCCGTCCTAGCACGCAGTACACAAAAGAGAGCCAAGAAGCTGGGAGAGAAATCAGCAAGCCGAGATTGTTATGGTTAGCTTCACATTCCCTTGGGAACTCTTTTAGTTGCTTCTGTTTACAGATCTAAAAGGTAATGATGTTTCCGGGATAAATAGGCTGCCTTATAGGGTAAGTGGCCATTTATTGATCTGCTAGCCCACATTTATCGATCGGTTAGCCCCAAATACAGCTTCGTTCTCCGAGGAGTTAACTGTGTAAATCAGGAGGCGACAAGTTTGGGGGGGGGGGAGGCGGACTGCGCGGCGGAGGGGCTCTGCCTGTTACAGATTTCGCTTTGATTTGCAAGGCAGCCGCCGGCGCAAAGCAACAGCGGGATTAGAGAGGGTTCCTCAAGGTGTTAAAGTTTGTCGACGGGAATGAAACAGGTGAACGTGCCGCCTGTGTGAAACATTGCTCAAAATGATAAAAGCGCCTCCGATTGCCTCGCGTGCATGAGCTTTATCTCGTGGAAGTGGTACAAGGCTGAGAGAAATAGAAACTTTAGCTGCAGTTGCAAAGGAGAGGGGGAAGAAGCTTCCGACAAGTTTTCGGCGGCACACGCTTCGTGCGTTCGTTTCCGTAGCAACAAGTGAACATACATATGGTACGCAAGCCGTAAACTTGCAAGATTCCCGAGACCCAGCACCAAAACTGATAGGAAATACAGGGTTTAAGTTACGTGGCCTCGTGGCCCTCCTTTTATTGTACAGAAAATGACAGCGCCGCAATTTAAATGTCCGTGTGTTCTCCTGTGGTCTGGGGAACTGTAGAGTGTTTAAGGGGGCACTTTGCTACCTCTGTACGTTCCGAAACGGCTTTCTCAAGAACAGCGTTTTCCTTTACTAATTCAATCCTACATGCAGGAAGGCTTGTCACCAAATCACTTGAAAAAGGCCAAGCTCATGTTCTTTTACACCCGGTACCCAAGTTCCAATATGCTGAAAACCTACTTCTCAGATGTAAAGGTAAGAAAATCTCTTTCCCCTCCCTCTTTCCATACTGCATGCTGTATTTTGCTCATGAAAAGGTATCGTGTTATCATATCAGAGATCGGTAATATTTCTGGGGACACAAAGGTTACAGCTGCCTTGATTCACTTGTTCTTCCTGTCGAGGCATACCCTGCTTGTGCCTAGACAGGAAAGGGGAGGCTGGAGGATTTTAAATGAAAAATAAAAAATCACTGACATTTCAGAGCAAAGTAAGAATAATTATTTCAGTAAATTAAACATTTTTCATTATACATATCCTATTAAAAAAAGGAGATTTCTGTGGCGGTAGAAACGTACTTCCAAGAACATTTTGGAGCAGTTCTCAAGTGCTCCCTTATTGTTTCATTTCGGTTGGTTTCCTCATATTTGTGCTTACATAAGCAGAGTGTAGAATCCCTTTCTTTCTGTCAAAAAGAAACAGTACATTGAAATTCTCCATGCAGAAGCTGCTTAAAAACAAAAGTGATGATTGTCTCTTATTTACAACTTAATTTGTTGTTGATGCAGAGTACACTGAGCATAAGGAGGATGAATAAAGTGACAGATTCAGGCCACATTATTCAAATGAGGATATGAAAGCTGTCGACATACAGCTGCATCCTCCCTCATTCTACAGAATATTAGGACCTCCTGATTTTTTTTCTAAAAGTAATTGTTGCTTCACATCAACTTGATTTTGTGTTAATCATCTAAGTTTTTTTAAAAAAAACATAGATTGGGTTTTAATGATTATAATGGCATACATGGTGTCATTATCTAAGTAACTTTATAAACATTACATTAGCTTAAATTAGTTTGTTACATTCCCCGCCCCTCCCCCCCAACCAAATTACAGAAATCTTTCTTTTAATCACTTTCGGGTTATGGTTTTTTTCAGTCTTAGTGGATGATTATCGCACAGGTTTGTGAACTTGGCCCCGTTTCTGCTCATCAGTTCTCTTTGGTCAAGTTTCTTGGCAGTTTTTCCCTTTATTTTTTTTCATTTAACGTTGCATGTGCTTGCACATCTCGGTACACTCCTGCCCCTCGCAGCCATGCCCTTGGAGGTTCCTCTTCCCCAACGCCGTGCGCTGAGCGGACGGTGACAACGCTTATAAAAAGGCAAGGGGGAAGCAATAAAGGCACTTCCTAGGCTAAATGGCCGGTCAAGAATCATTAAACACACAAGAAGAGCTGCAAATGGTGCAGCGGGCCAAGTGGAGGGTCTGCTCTCAGAGTGGATCCACCTGGAATGGGAAAATCAGAGGGAGCGTTTCGGGCGACGCTGCC